TTATTTAAAATTTGATAAGCCATATATTATTTATTTGATTTGTTGTTTAAGTTAACTGAACAACAAGCTAGTAATTATGGTAATTATGTTTAATTACTACTGGTTTGCAATATGGTTAAAATAGTGTAATAAACACAGCTAGCATCTAAGGCTAAAATGTCATTAATACAGTGCTGATTAAGGCAATCTGACCCCTTATTCTAAAGTGAAACTTAGAACTTCTAATACAAGATAGAAGAAAATAAGTCAAATACTTTTTATTTAACAACCAAATTAGTTTTGCCCTAAGACACAGTGTGCAGTTTTTTGAATTTCATGGCACAATCTGTGTGCTCCTCTTGCTGGATCAAAAACATTTAACAGGTCCTTTTATGCTTTAAAAGTGTTTTTTTTTTTTTCATCCACATTACAAGTTTCTCTATTTTTTTGCTGGCCACTTGCCATACAGCAGATTGAGAAGTCTGTTTTCAAGACTGTTGTTCTCTAAACTGTTATGTCCCATGGGAAAAAAAATAAATTCCTGTTTTCTATTTCGTCTGCGCAAGCCCAATAATCAACTTCCTAATATCTAGCGTGCGATTTTTGATACATCCATTTATCCAACGACAGAAGCATCACCTACAGTCCTGGAGACTACTCGGATGTTTGCATCTCCACGATGGTAAGCATACCACAACTGTGTTTTCTGAAATGCACCTTTTAATAATATACCCATGTAAAACTTTAGCTGGAATGATTGTCATTACTGCAATAGGCACATGTTTATAAACTGATACTTTATAGATCTAAGCTTAAGTTACTATAATGTTAACCATAAAGGTAACTCCTGGATTCATGTTACAGATTAGCTGCAGTCAGTCAGATAAGGAGTTAGTGCATTATATTGCATGTTTATTTTTAATTGCACCAAACTTTCTTTTTGACAAATATGAGTAATGTTGAGACCTGTATGAGAGCACTGGTCTGGGATTCATCCAGTTTAGGGCTGTTTTAATTGAAAAATTCTTTCCCAAGAACACTCGCTGCCCAAAAAGTGCCCTTAAGAGACTTCATACAGTTGAAGTCAGAAATATTAGCCCTCCTTTGAATTTTTTTTTCTTTTTTAAATATTTTTCAAATGATGTTTAACAGAGCAAGTAAATAAACGTTAGTAAGCAGTTTATAACTGCAGCTACAAATGCTTTATTCTTGACTTATTAGCACCTATATAATGTGCTTAATATTTGTATTTTCATACTTAGTTAATGATTTATTTTTTATTACTAAATTAAGTATCGCATTATTTACAAACCAGTTGTATTTAAGTTGTATTACTTTCTGCATAACAAATACCCAAATTTTAACAATTTATAAAAAATTAATAACTTTCTGCCATCGGATATTAGGCATGGACATATATGTTGCGATCGGGATTTTTGAAAGTATTAAATCGCTTTGTAAACGTTTATAATTAACATTTCATGAGTCTCCCCATACAGTTGAGTAGAGCGCTTGGACCCGGAAGCCGCTTCGTGTGACCTCACACTTAACAAGCGGATAATCAAATACTGACGGATTCCACAGAATGACAATATCTATGATCTTGAGTAACTTCCATATCTAAATATAGGTCTATCATTCAGCAAAAATAGGCTGACAAATAATCTATCCAAATATTTTTTACATGCACACTGAAACACAATTTAAGAACAAACCATGGATAAATATTTAAAGTAGGATGCACTTGGCTGTTAAACAATTAAAAAGTTGCATAGAATAAAATGTTGATTTCCTTTCTGTAGAGGTATTTTTTAAGTAATATCCTATTGTAATTTTTGTTTTAAAAGCTGTTTATAGCGTTTATAACGTACACATTTATAAGCTGACTTTTATTTTTAACAGATTTTTTTTAGAGTTGCTATAGTTTTTTGTGTTGCTCATTTCTGAAACGAAGTGTGAAATTTCAGTTAATGATGATCGTTTAAATGCTGTGTTAAATCGAAAAACAGACTAGTTAAAATTAGCACTGTCAAAATTATTGCGTTAACGCATGTGATTAATTTTAAATAATTAACACGCAGTTGCAGGTTTTTTTTACTTCCTGTTGTGGTTGACGTGTGTTTAACATCCAAAGAAATATGGATAAGACCAAGGAAGCCCTTTTCGAAGGCTTCAGTATAAAACAATAAATGTTGCATTACCAGGCTCTCCAGCGTTTCTTCCACCACTTCATGCAATTTCGGGTGTTTAATTTTTAACTTTCGACTTCTGTTTTAATGGAATTTGATACCACATGGCGAACAGAAAGAAAAACCTCCGCATTTCGTGGCTTGGTGGTCCTTTAAGGTAATCAAAAATCGCTGCTTACATGGTAGACACTTAATAAGAGTATTATCTTAATCATATTAAAATCAGAGTATTGGTGTCAATGTAAGTGTACTCAGAAAGTGACAGATGATGTCACGAGCTGTCAAAGACAGGGCATTCCTCTGCCTTTCAGCATGCGCCCTCAAATGTGTCATTAAGTTTGACATGTTTCCCACTTACACGCAAGAGTCTGCTTCTTGTTGTTGTGTCAGAATCATTGTGAAATATAGCCATACTTTAGAATGCTTAGTTTAAACAAATTTGATGAATTCGATCATGCGTGTTGAATCTGAAGGGAGTCGCTTTGGCTGCGCTGTCCTGCGCGCAGTGTGTGCGTGTGTCTGTGTGTCTGTCTGTCTGTGTGTGTGTGTGTGTGTGTGTGTGTGTGTGTGTGTGTGTGTGTGTGTGTGTGTGTGTGTGTGTGTGTGAATGCGTGCGCGTTTGTTTCTTAGCAACAAACCTGCATAAACGTCCGTAGCTACAAAAATCAAAAAGTTATGAATTGCCGTGAGACTCACGACTCATGATTTGCACTCTCAGCTCACATCATACAAAAGAAATAGTCCACATTATCCCCCGATAATGTCAACAGACTGGACTGTCTTAGCAACTGACTGAATATAAAGGAGGACTGAGAAAAATTGTTTCTACTTTATAATCAACGTTCTCAACTCACAGCAATAGAACTTTTCAATGAGTGCAATTGTTTGTATTCAATACCTTACTTTTATTATAATTTTCCATTTTCCAAATCTGCAATGCCTGTATTTTGGCATTTATTTGCAGTCCACTTAGAATCCATTTTGGAAATAATTTTTTTTCTTTGTTATGTGTTTTAATTTCTGCAATAAATATGGCTGTCAGGATCTTAATGGTTTATTGTGGGTATGTTGTGTATATGAAAAAATCTGTGTTACAAGTTAAACAAAAATTCTTATAAACAATTATATTTTGAATTTAAATATTTTTTGTCTTTTTTTTTAAAAAAAAGGTGCGTTAGTTAATTTTTTTATAATCGATTGAACTAGATTAAATTGAGTCTTTTAAATACAATGATATGCTATAAATGCATATTATTATTATTATTATTTTTTTTTTGTATAATGGATACGCTAATAGATGGAGTGGGGGGGATAAAAATAAACAAATAAAAATTATTATTTTAAAATTAGATCTCAGCTCCACTGTGCCATCCTGCTGCCTAAAAATAAAGTCCATTTAGAAAAACAGATATTAGGTTTAGATTTTATTATCATCATTTATTGGGGCTCTGGTGCAGTGACAGGGGCTGGAGGGCTCTCACAGGTAAAGGGTGAGGTGGGCAAAGAGGTGGGTGTGGAGCTCACCACTTTTTGGTATGCTGACTGGGGCTCGCAGCAATGGAGTGTGAAAGTTTAGTTTCAGCAAACACCAGTTCTTTTTTATTTATTAGCAGCCATATTCAACATTCTAAACTCAATTTTGCATTCTTTCTTGATCTCATTATAAAACTTTTAGGGTTGTTTTCTTCCCCCATCTTGAACATTCACAGTGAAATCTATGAAAGGCAGAAACATACAACATTTGACAATAATATGTCAGTTTAATTAAAAAAAAAAGAAAAAAAAGATGTAATATTTATTTGAAATTGAAATGTACTTTAGATACCACAGTCTATTAGGCCAGTGGTTCTCAAAGTGAGGTTTGGACCCTCTGGAGGGTCGAGAAAAACAAATGTGTAGGGGGCAATGGTGGGTCTAAAAATTTCACATATGTTATTAAACTATAGGAATTAACACTTTATTTTGATGGTCCCTATGCACATTTTGTTGACTAAAATTTGCATTGCAGCTACATACCAATTACTTCTCATTTGAGTATTAGTAGACTGTCTGCTTAATCTCTGCTGATACTCCTCCCTCAACAGACATTTAGCTGACTATAAGTAAGTTTGCAAGTACATTTCAACTTAAACTTACCCTAACCCCAAGCTAGTTATATTTTATTGAGAATTAGTTGGCATGTAGATGCAATGTAACTTAGATTCAACAAATTTCATTAAAAGAACCATCAAAATAAAGTGTTACGAATTACCATATTTTATCCATAACCTATAGAAGACAAACATACACTGTAAAAAAAATCCCCGTGAAAAAGCGTTTTTTTTCTGGCAGCAGGGGCGCCAAAAAAAAAAAAAAAAAAAGTTAAAATACAGAAAAAAACTGTTATAATAAAAGATGTAGATAAACTGTTAAAAAACAGTCGTTTTCTGTTTTAGAGTTACAGGTTATTACTGTAATTATATGTATGTAATTATACAAGTTATTATGGTAGTTTTACAGATTATTACTGTGATTATACATGTTATTACTTTAATTATACAAGTTATTTATGTAATTACACAATTTATTATGGTAGTTATACAGATTATTACCATACTTATACATGTTATCACTTCCCACATACAAAATACATTCGGGCCAGTTCCGGCTAGATTGTCGCCTGCCGGAGACTTACCACTCGTTGCCTGTGGACTCACTGCCCGAATTAATCGGGCCAGATGCGGCGGCCGTAAGCGAGCCCGAGTGAAATGTGCGCTGCGGCCCGGAGCTGGCGCGACTCAGTATTTATATACCTTATAAAACCTTTTGGTATTACATTGATACTTGATATTACAACCATTTGAATTTATATAACAGCAAACGCAGGCTATAATGTAAACAGAAAGTATAGGCACTGTGTTTAATCTTTGAATAAAATGCAAACTGCATACATATACTATAACGAAAAGAATCAGACAAAGGACAAAATAAATACATGATAAACGTTTATTGATTGCAAGAAAAAAAAATAGTACTAAAATTGAATAAATAATTTTGTAGTGCACAAGAATATCAATATAAAAAAAAACAATAAAAACATAAAGACACACAGGAAGACTTAAAGAAAAAATCTGAAATTGCACACATACACAGAAGTTTTTAAAACAACCCTGTTTTCCCAATAGACATGACTTTAAAAAATTGTACAAGACACATCTTGAAACAGCAAAATTTTATATAAACCTGAATATAGAAATCAATTTAAGATATAGCAAGAAACATCTTACAAATACCTATGACAATCCGTAAAATATACAAGTCAAAATTGTAAAAAGTATATATATATATATAAATGCAATTGAAAAGAAACAAATTGCTCAAGTATCAGGGATCATCTTAATACACATAAAATGTTGTTTAAAAAATAGAATAGAATAGAATAATGATGTAAACAGTTGAAACATTAGCTTTCTCTTCTTCCCTCCTTTCTCCATCCCTGTCAGGAGCAAGTTGTAGCCACTGTGTAATGCATTTTTCAATCTCTTTATCAGTGGCGTGATATGGACATTTGTCCTCACTGCATCTGTGATTAAAAGATAAACAGATAATTAGTAGTGAACAAGTACTAATTTTAAAAAAAATAAAAAAGATGCTTGCTCTCATATAAATAAAATCTAAATGGGACTGTATATAGATTTTTTTGTTCCTCTGGTTAATAATTCACAGAAATGCACAGATGAAACGGCCCCTAATTGTATTAAAATGTATATTCAAAACCAACTTACTGACTACGACAGTTCTAAGGGGGAATGCACGAAAGGCCACTTTTTAATTTGACCCGCTCCAGTTAATTTGTTTAGCCAAGGAGTTAGCCAAAAGCTTTTCCAGGATACGGCCTTTTCCAGGATACAACTTGTGTAAATACAACAGTGGGTTAGACACTGGTGATATTCTCTAGTTGATCTTTACTTTTTTAGCTGTATGAAGCCTTTACAAGTTTAGTGATGTCTTGATTTCTTACAAAGACATGACGAGTTGCAATAAGTTCTGTCGTGATCTCCAACTGCACTAGAACAAGGACTGTAAATGTTCATAGGTGTACTGGAATGTACAGTATATGTGCATCTTCATGGTGGTCTTAGGATTTCTGCCATAGTCATTGATGGTGATGGTACTTGTGGTGCTGCATTGATTTCTAAAATCTTCATACCTGCCTTTTATCCAGCCTCTTTGTTCCAAGTAATTGTTCTTCATCATGGTATAGTTGTCTTTAATGTCCCTTGATCAGATACATTTACAAAACAAAACATCACTTTAGTATAGTGCCAGGGCAAAACTCGCTGGTTGTAATAGATCAATGACATTATGTGTTTAAAATAATTGCAAACAAACCTGTTCTTTCTTTAGGTGTATGACAGGCGATCATCATCCTCATCTGTCTGCCAGTCAGAAATCACAGTTGCTTGTGAATGTTTGAGTCGAGCTTTCTCATATGCATCTATAATAAAACATCACATTGTTGTTAACCTCACGTAAAGAAAAGTTCAAATCCTGAAATACTATCAAAGTTAATTAATGCCTATAATACCTATAGTGTAAATAATCAGTACACTGAAGGTTGCACAAGATTTATTAGTAGATTCATGCAGAGTGACAGCCTTATGAATCTGAGACATAGATTTGTAAGATGGCCAAGCACATGCATTATTCTGTACCCATGAAGATTAACCTACCATTGTGAAAAATGTTTAATGATGATGATAGCCAATAACAATAAACCATTTCAGCTGTTTGTTAAGCAATTAGTAATGTAAAGTCTGAAAAGCTCAATCTATGTTGAAAATGTATCAGAAGTTTACAGCTTATAATGGACTTTAAGCACCTAACTATAACATGTCTATTCACATGTTCATAAGAGTGTGCCATTGGCATCTTTGGTCGTGATGTGCTGCAAAATGACCTCACTAACCTTTGCTAAACAAGAACAATAAGACTTTACCAACAAATATTGTTACCCATTCATTTAAATCAGAATTTATCATTAATCAGAATTTTTGTCAATAACTAAATATATATATATATATATATATATATATATATATATATATCAAAATCTGCTTTAAGACATTCAGTTTTACATTAACTGAACATTACAGCTTGAACAAAAGATATAATTGATTCACATAGGCTAACACATATGAATTAAAAGCACATGTTTTGCCATGTTGGTGTTAATGGATTCGTCTACAGAAACTTTCTTTAACGTAAAGTTAGCATACACACAAATTTGTTTAATGTTTCTTTAAAATAATTAAAATAGTTTTCAGTTACTAAACACGTTACTGTCTAACATTATGTTAAAGGAACAGGAACTTTCAGATGTGTTTGTAACGTTAGCGCTAGCATAACTTACATTAGCTCCAGTCGTGTTTCTTAAAGCAAGTTACATTTCGTATCAAATTGTTTTAAATTACTAAACACTGTTACAACCAAACACTGTGGAAAAATGTTTTAAGCTCTAAATTCGCAAAGTATACAGTACACAAGCAGTAAAAACTTTACCTTTCTGACTGGAATCCATGTGATAGTTTTGAAAAACCAAACAAACTTCTTTTTCTTCCTGTGATCTTCATAGCAGTCGGCAACCAGCTTTTTGGAGCATTACCGCCACCGCCTGGATTGGAGTTTGGATCAAAAGTTTACTCCAATGTTCTGCAGCTGGATATATCTCGTCTACTCACGCATGTGTTTCTTATGAAACCAACTTCTTTAAAAAAACAGTCGGCACAGGAGCGTGCCGTCTTGAAAATCGGCGCATTTTACAACGTTTTTCTCTAGATTATATCTATAATCCATTTATAAATAGCATTGTTTTGTTTGCGTCTAAACAATTGCGACCATCCACACTAAATATTCTTATTATTTTGTTGCTGTCCTACCATGAATATTTTCTCAAATTATCATTAAACGTGGAGCTAACATATTACTAGATAAAATAAGAATTTAATTGGTTGCCATCAGCCGAGTACTTGCCAGAAGCGGCCCGGGCTCTACAGACAGACTCGGGATATGGTTGACTGGAATCGGGCCAGTGCTTTAAAGCCGCATCACAACCGCATGTGCGCAAGCGAGCTGCGGGCCGCACTCGGCCCGGATAACACTCGCCGATGCCGAGTCGGAGGCGGCGAAGGGCAGCCGAGCTCGGGCCGATTACTACCTGCTATCGGGGATGTTTAGTTAACTTTTTGTTGACTTCACATTGCAACTGTAAAGATTGATTAGAAAAAATGTTTACAGGTAATAACATGCATACACAAGTAAATATGTGTGATTAGTCACTAGGAGAAAAATTATATAATAGCATACATCATAAATATTTTAGAAAATAAATATAATAATTAAAATGAGCATTTTTTGTATTTTACAGTGCATATACTGTACAGTATGTGGCCTAAAATACTAGGCTATTATTTGACATTTATAACTTTAATTTAATCTTCACTTTAACAGGCTACAGAAAAGTCACGTTTATCCACATAATCATTACATGTATTATTGTAAACCTCAACATCTTGGTGCTATTGGTGTTACTTTTACATTTCATACTTTACAAACCAATATAACAAACCCTTACACTTAATAAAATAACAGCATATTGATGTAAAACTGCAGTACAACTGAACAATAGCAGCAGGCTATAAAGAATAACTGCAGTAAAAATATTTGCTACTGCAAAATTGCAATATAATGAAGTATAAACACAGTTCAACTACATTACTACATCTTGAATTTAAAGTTCAAAGTCAGTTTAATTTTCAGTACATTAAAGTAAAACTATAGTAAAAGGTAAACTGCAATTTTACTCCATTTGTGCATTGTAGTGCTGTACAGTCTAATTTGCCAATGGTGTGATAATTGGACTACTATAGGCTACTGTACTTGTTTTTGTACTTATTTTCAGGTATTTTCTTATTGTAAACTAGTCATCTTCTAAATAGAATTTGAAAAGTTTATTTTCAAAAACAGATATGTGCAAGGCACAGTGGGTATAGCATTGTCGCCTCACAACAAGAAGGTCACTGGTTCGAGCCTCGGCTGGGTCAGTGGTCATTTCTGTGTGGAGTTTGCACGTTCTCCCCGTGTTGGCGTGGGTTTCCTCCGGGTGCTCCGGTTCACACACAGTCCATAGACATGTGCTATAGGTGAATTGGGTAGGCTAAATTGTCTATAGTGTATGTGTGTGAATGAGTGTGTATGGGTGTTCCCAGTGATGGGTTGCAGCTGGAAGGACATCTGCTGCGTGAAAACTTATGCTGTACAAATTGATGTTTTATTCCGCTGTGGCGACCCATGATTAACATTCATTCATTCATTCATTCATTTTCTCTTCGGCTTAGTCCCTTTAATAATCAGGGGTCGCCACAGCGGAATGAACTGTCAACTCATCCAGCATATGTTTTACACAGCGGATGCCCGTTCAGCTGCAACCCATCACTGGGAAAGATCCATATACACTCATTCACACACACTCATACACTACGGACAATTTAGCCTACCCAATTCACCTGTACCGTATGTCTTTGTACTGTGGGGGAAACCGGAGCACCTGAAGGAAACCCACGCATACACGGGTAGAACATGCAAATGACAACTGACCCAGCCGAGGCTCGAACCAGCGACCTTCTTGTGAGGCAATCGTGCTACCCACTGCGCCACCTGAAAAAACATGTAATACCAAAATACTAACAATTATCTGTAAATTAAATGTTGGAATTTTTAAATACAGAAAATATCTGTAAAAAAAATATATTTCACTGTATAATGAAAAAACAGGAAAATTCTGTAAAAAATACAGACAATTATCTGTAAAATAACATTTATTTTCACAGTTTATTTTTACAGGAATAATCTGTAAATATTAACGTAAAATTACGTGTTACTCTTTTAAAATACAGTACATTTCCTTTAAAAAACAGAAAAAGAATGTAATACCAAAATACAAGCAATAACTGTAAATTTAATGTAAGGTTTTTTTATTACAGAACATATCTGTAAAACAACAGGTATTTCACTGTATAATGAAAAAACTGAAAAATTCTGTAAAAAAATACAGACAATTACCTGTAAAATAACGTTTATTTTTTACAGTGTAGTTTTACAGTGTAGACCTTGGATTAATTAGGCGACTAAGCCGACAAAAAAAATGAATGAATGAATGACTAAGTTTAAATGAACATCAGTAATCAAATTTTTGCCTTAATCTAATTAAGACAACAATATGATTAAGGTGTTTACATTAGGAACATTGCTTTTTAAATGTTCCTTTTCATGATCCTGTTTTACATGTTATAGTGCATAATTCGATTAACGTCATTGAGTCACCATGCTATCCACGTTTACTTCAGAGTTTCATGTAATTTTGATTGTTTTAGTTTTAATTTGTCGACTTTAACTGCCGTTTGGCACTTTCACTTTTATTTGGGAACATTTCATGCATACCTCCCTTGACAAACAAGATATTGGATGCAACTATGAACTCCTGGAAGAGTATTGTTTTAATGAAAGTTCATACCGCATGCTGAATGGGAGAAAAAAAAAACCTAAGCATTTTACGATGCAGGTGTCTATAGTCTTCAAGACTCTGTAGGTGCAAAGAGTGTCAAACAGCCGTGTGTGTGTGTGTGTGTGTGTGTGTGTGTGTGTGTGTGTGTGTATGTGTGTGTGTGTGTGTGTGTGGGTGTGGACTATCCTGTTGCAAAACACGGCGAAAATTCCTACATGACAGTAATAGTTTGATGTCTACTAAGGTGTTTACTTATCTGTACTGCACTTCAATAATGTAACAAAAATTGGCATACATGTCTTAATTCAATTTCTCTTTAGTTCGATTATGACCTTAATCAGATTAATCAAAAATCGCTGTTTACATGGTAGACTCTTAATTATAGAATTGTCATAATCTCATTAAAATCTAATTATTGGTGTCCATGTAAACGTACTCCATATTATAACACCTTTATGGCAGTCACATACATTAAAAATAAAGCCCACTATTAAACATGGAGGATGATCTCCAATATTATAAGATCAGTCTTGTGATGTAAACATTGCGTCCACCATTCTATGGTAATATTTAATTACATAAATTAATAATGACTATTGTTACATTCCATTGTGTTTTGAATGTATTGTTGTGTTTGGGCTCTCTCTCTCTCTCTCTCTCTCTCTCTCTCTCTCTCTCTCTCTTTCTGTTATCTGTTACCTGTTTGTCAACTAGGTTTAGAGGAGAGGAAATTGATTAATTGCACCTGCTGCTCGTTGCTTTTTAAGCCCTAAAAGCTGATCAGTTGCCAGCCACATTAAAGCTTGCTACTATATTGTCGTCTCTCTCTTACCTGGTTTTGTTGTAAAAGATTATTGTCGCTGTTGTGGTTAACTTATTAAAGTTCAAATCTATTGTAAAGTAATTGAAACCACTTAAACTCTGCCTTTGAAACGTAACATTGTGTTTAAAAGCTGTATGTAGGTGAGTGCCATATTTCTAAAACCCCTTTTCTCTTGTTTATGTTTAGTTAGGGAGTTAGTGTACACTTATGTTGTTAATTTAAGTTTACTTTGTCAGTTTAGATCATTTTACTCCCTAACTAGCTAAAGTGTTCTTTTTGTTTGTTTGTTTTAGCCTTTCTCCCTTCTGAAGCCCAGTTTTGTTTTATCATTGTACATTTTTGTTAATAAATTCTGCAACTGAATTTTGTGTGTTGATGTGAAGGCAGGGCACTGATCCATACTCGCCTTAACCAACTTTAAAACTTTTCACTGTTGCTCCAACTTCTAGACATTTAACACCAGAGACATAACACTAAAAAGTATATGGTTGTTCGACTGCTGCACTTTTTTGTGTTTCAATATGCTTGTATTTATATAGTTCTTTTTGGTGTGTGCACCATTGTGTGCAATATTTGTTTGTTTATAACCACCTCAAGGCATAGTGGTGAGTTACTGAAGTTGTTATTTAGGGGTCGTGGGCTGAAAAGTTTAAGAACCCCTGTATTAGACAATGATCAGTGGGTGAGATAATAAAGTTATTGGAGAATCTTGCAGGCCCTAATTTGTTCCTAGTGACAGTACATATCTGCCCCATTCATTAAATGTTACATTGCATACCTTTGTCATCTCAGTTTCAAAAGCCATGTTATGGACTCTCCATCCAGACAGTTTTATTGCCAATGTCCTCAATGATTGTACAGACTCTAGAGTTTTTATGAATCTACATAAGACAGATGATTTGGCAAGTAAAAGAATGGATAGAAGGTGACAGGCAAAGACAATCATCGTCATCATTGTCGTCATCATCATTATGTCCAAACTATATACAAAAAGTCTGATTGACTACCTGGAACTACACCTACCTAAAACTTAATCTTGGCATTTTGCTTTCATTTTTGTGTTTTGACATTTATTGGCAAAATTTAATAAACATCTCTGCTTGGAAAAAGTGTTTGTTTTAGCATGTTATGATTGTTTTTAACCATATGTAGTAGTTCTTGATATTTATTTATTGTTATCCTGCTCATTTTTTATGCTTGTCCATTTTGTCTTATCTGATATGGTTTCTCATATCTGTCTTTGCAGATCGAAATGTTAGAGCACAAATATGGGGGTCACCTAATCTCTCGACGAGCTGCTTGCAAGATTCAGACTGCCTTTCGCCAGTATCAGCTTAGCAAAAACTTTGAGAAAATTCGAAATTCCCTTCTTGAAAGTCGCTTGCCTCGCCGTATCTCCCTGCGAAAGGTACGGGTGCAGAATACAGAGGGTATCTCAGCTGAACGGGCACTGGCTGAAGGCTGCAATCTGACAAGCATTCCCCTTGTCCGCTCCCCATCTTTGCCAACCACGGTAGGGGGCACTCTCACTGATCTTGAAGATTCCTTCAATGAGCAAGTGCAGTCTCTTGCAAAATCCATTGATGATGCACTTAGCAATTGGAGCATGAAGACCATGTGTTCACTCCAAGAAGGAGGCACCTACCAGTTTAGCTCAGAGGCTTTTAGTACAGCTGGTGGCAAATCTGGGTTGGCAGAAACAGTAAAAAAAGGTAGCCCCATGGACCCTTCCACATTTCATAGTGGCACAGGACAAGTAGACAGCTTGGAGAATGTAGCCCAGAGTGCCAGCAAATTGATGATGGCCTTCCGGGATGTGACCGTTCAAATTGACAGCCAGAACTTTCGTATGTCCTCTTCTGTTATGGAGTCCTCAACTTCCGTGTCTCTTGGTAATTGCATCCAGCAGGGGGCTATAATTACTGAGAGCCCACAGCAACCTAAAATTAATGATGTAAAGGAACAACCTCAACAAAGACAACCATCAACATTTCTAGAGGATCCAGTTTCTCCACCACTAGAGCAGGATGCTGAGGAAGTTCCAGATGGAGATTTTCCAGCTCCTCCACCAAGTGAGGAGGTGCTCGGGGAAGATGTACTACCTCTGGAGCTGGAGAAACAGGAAGTTCCACAACCAACAATTCCAGCACAGACAGCAATAACCTCTGAAACCTTGTCTCCACCAGAGGTTGCAGAGACGCCTGTCACACCAATTGTAGAAGTTCTGGAAGCTAAGCATATTGAATCAGACACAGCAGACAACAGTTCGGAGCAGATGAGTAGCAGCAGTACATCAACATCAGCACAGTCTGCTTCAGAGGTCTCATCGAAAGAGGCTTTACAGGCCATGATTCTTAGCTTGCCCCGATACCATTGCGAAAACCCAACCAGTTGCAAATCTCCAACCCTCTCTACTGACATCATGCGGAAACGCTTATACCGCATTGGTCTCAATCTCTTCAACATGTGAGTATCCAATGATAAGTTCTTTGTTTTGCTCACAGAAATGGCTAATGGCAGATATTATATTATATTATATAAAACAAAGTTTCTTGCCTTTTTAACAAGCATTCCTCAACAACCATAATATAGCTGCAAAAGGGCTGGTCTCAAAACATCATCACATTCCAGCTTTTCTTTTTTCCATTTTTGTCTCCAGCTGTAGTTAACACCCCCTCCCTGTTGCCTGTCAACTAATATATTTGTCTAAGTCCCTATTATTAGCATTGCTTTCACTAAAAGGCACATAATACTGACTTTACTGTTTTGAAGAAACATTAGTGTGTGAAGTCACAAAGTACTGCCCCTAACCATGACTGTTAGAAGCTACAGAGCATGTTTTGCTGAGAAGTTACAACTGAAAGATTTAAAAAAAAAAAAACTCTTCGTAAACCTCCAGAAATAAATAAATATGTAGGGTTCTATTCTATCAGCCCAATGACAGAATCTGATGAATGTAAGCCTTTTTTTAGTGCTTAAAAAAAAAATCTGTTATTTATTAGAATTTATTCATGTTTGTTTTTAGCTCGGAATGAAATTTCTTCTTTTCTTTTTTTTTTTTTTTTTTTGCTGAGACGCTTGGATCATCTTTTAAAAATGACTCTTTTCCGATGTCCGCATATACACTTCAGACAGCAAAAGGTGCAATGATACAGAAAAAAAAAGTGCGGGCGCTGACTGACTGTTATTAATAGCTCTCTAAATTGAGCTCAGATACATTGTTTTCACTGATCATTCTTGAAGATGTTCTAGCACTGGGGTCACCAACCCTGTTCCTGGAGAGCTACCTTCCTGCACATTTCAGTTGTAACCCTGACCAAACACACCTGTTTGTAATTATCAAGTGCTGCTTTAGGTACTATTAATTGGTTCAGGTGTGTTTGATCAGGGTTGGGACTGAATTCTGCAGAAAGGTAGCTCTCCAGGAACAGGGTTGGTGACCCCTGTTCTAGCAGCTTAATTGGAGTTGACCTGTGGTAAATTCAGTTGATTGGACATGATTTGAAAAGGCATACATACATCTGTCTATAAAAGGTCCCAGGGTTGACTGTGCATGAGAAAGCATGAAGACAAGGGAATTGTCTGTAGACTTCAGAGACTGGATTGTCTCGAGGCACAAAGCTGGCGAAGGTTACAGAATTTTCTGCTGCTCTGAAAGTTCCAATGAGCACATTGGCTTCCATCTGTAAAGGGGAGATGTTTGGAACCACCAGGAATCTTCGAAGAGCTGGCCTACCATCTAAGCTGAGTGATCAAGGGAGAAGGGCCTTAGTCAGGGACGTGATCATTAACCCCATGGTCACTCTGTCTGAGCTCCATTCTTCTTCTGTGAAGAGAGGAGAACCTTACAGAAGGACAAACATCTGTGCAGCAATACACTAATCAGGCCTGTGTGGTAGAGTGGCCAGATGAAAGCCACTCCTCCGTATTGGAGTCCTTGAGTGGCCCAGCCAGTGCTCAGACCTAAATGCTTTTAAACATCCCTGGAGAAATCTGAAAATGGCTTTACACAGTTGCTTCCCAGCCAGCCTGATAGAGCTTGAGAGGTACTGCAAAGAGGAATGGGCAAAAATTTCTGTTCATACGAAAGCATAGTTGTTTAAAACTAAAATATGTGGTTTATTTTTAAATGTAGTGCGTATTTTAAAATGGAATTTGACAAATGTGAAAATGTCCACCTCCAGGTCATGTCGGGCACTCATCGCTTGTGTATCCAGTGAGGGCAGCCTATCCTCAGCTATCCTCAGACACTCTGACATTTGTCCCTGACTTATGCCCCTGGCTAATTTGAAAATGCTCATTTTAATCACATTGAATTTAATCAATATTTTTTACTTTTAAAAATGATTCAAAAATAATAGCAAAATTCTTATGATAAAATTGATTGTATTTTATTACAGACATTAAGTAATTTCAAAGCTCAAAAATTCCCTAAAATCAGGAAATCAATTTCATTAATTGAAGTGTACATAATAAATTTAATGAAATCTACAATGCCTCAAAATTACTTTTTACAGTGTAGGGGAGGTTAATGATGTATTATTTGTTGAATAAAGCAAAATAATTATGTCTGATTGGCTTCATCCATTTAACTTTTCATTCCCTCCTTCAGTGAACGAGGGTATAACAGTAATTTTTTTTTTCAATAAATTATGTCTGATTTACTCCTCTTCCATCGGTGTAGTATGCTGTCCCAATAACACACCCTTATGAGACTACAAATAACAAATTGCACAAAACAAAAAACAGTGATCTTTAATATAAAAGTAAATTAATATTTAAAAGTACACTTTAAAAATGACTACAGTTGCCTTTACGAGAGAGAGTAATATACTTTGACGAACTCTGTTTTGTAAATGTTGGAATTATTTAAGTTAAAATATTTTATGTATTGGATTTAATATAGTGGGCGACGCAGTGGCTTTTTCCTTATATTAAGAAGGTTGCTGGTTCGAGCTTTGGCTGGGTCAGTTGGCGTTTCTGTGTGGAGTTTGCATGTTCTCGCTGCGTTGGCGTGGGTATCTTCCAGGTGCTCCGGTTTACCCCACAGTCCAAAGACATGCGGTACAGGTGAATTGGGTAGGCTAAACTGTCCGTAGTGAATGATTGTGCTTGGTTGTTTTCCAGAGATGGGTTGCAGCTGGAAGGGCATCCGCTGCATAAAACATATGCTGGATAAGTTGGTGGTTCATTCCGCTGAGGCCCCCTAGATCAATAAAGAGACTAAGACGAAAAAGAAAATAAATGAATGCATTTAATATGGTATTTTTATTGGCTATTACATTAAATAAAAAAAAATCAAACTATTTATTCAGTTATTGAATGGTTTACAAGCATCAGTTGCCTTTAAAAAAAAAAAAAAAAAAAAACTAAATTACATAACTGAACAACTCCCATTTTGTGGAGTGTATTGGGTACCCGTCCACAACATCAGTATGATTACTATTCATTCAGCGGGCCTACCAAATCAAAGATTTATTTTAAGAAGATATTTAGCTATTTTAAGATTTTTTTTAAAGTTTGTATGTTGACTTGGGATGTTTTCCTTTATTTCCAATCTTTGCTGTTAGACTTCTTTTTCTTAAATATTTTACTTATTAAATGTTTTACATTTCTGTCTCCATTATTAAGCAATGGAATATTCTAAATTATTTTAATCGGACAACTAAAATGTACTGTAAAATAAATGGGTTTCCTAATAACTATTTTATGTTTGACTGCAGCCTAAACTGCTGGTTTTGTCTGGCCAGAGGTAAACAACACATTGTCTATACAGTAGTACAATTAGCATTGTATAAAGTGTGATAGGGTGATGTGTTTAATTTTGTTCCTGTGCTCTGCTATTTTATGAAAAGTGGTAGTAAAAACATAGCAGACTAATACAGAGACCACTGACACATCACTGGTCCATTTCAGTTTTACACTAAAGAACGATGATACTTAGTTCATCATATAGTCTAGGTCCTTAAACATTAAACTTTATTAATAATGATAAAGACATTTATAAAGGATATTCTGAACATTCATCAGAAACTCCACTCCTTCAAAGCATTCACTGTAGTAATAAAGACTTGTATTTATTTAACACTTAAAGTTGTTCATTGTTTGCTCAACTGGAGTACCTATTCATACTAATTTTTGATACATGTTCTGTGCGGTATTATTTAGGAAGTTTTTTTATTTTTTTATATAACCCGATTATTTGGATGAATAAACACTTGACCCTGAGCTAAATTGTTTTAGATTTCCTGAGCTAAATTCATTACACAAAGATAGGTCCTCACCCTTGCAAGACAGTTTGGATAAACTCCATTAAAGTGACATCATTCCATCCAGTTTGCACAGCAAATGTTCTAAACTAGCGTTTCTCAAACTTTGTCCTCACACATCAGCATACTTTCCATGTTTCTCTTATTTTACCCAGCTGATTAAAATATTCATATCTTCTTACGCGGGGATTCCGCGTCAATGCTTCCCATCACTTTGAATGGTTGACGTAAGGCTTGGCCGAACTGCATTGTGGAACCATCAGAAGTGTTGCTCTGCTGCAGAAGTTGGCACTTTCTCAACTTTTCAAGTGCCGAGGGAAGCGTCAGCCAATCAGATTGCTGTATGTAAATAAATCAGCTACGACAGTAGCTGATTGCTGACTAATTTCAATGGTTGTCACTGCTATGACGATCGCGTTAGATCCAACTTTAGATACTCCCTTTGTCAAGCTTTGATGCTGAAGCCCATGTGAATAGAAGTGTTCCATCACATAATGTGTTATGACTGATCATGTCTCTACACAGTGTACATTCTACAACCCAGGCTCATTGGAAGTATGTGCCGAGGGAAAGGTTTTTGAGAATCGAAAATATCGTACCCTGGATTACATGAGCTTGCAGTTTTTGTTTTTAAAAAATCCATTAGGTCTTATATTTTTGCAATCTCAAATATGTTACTGGGGTATGTTTTCTTATACATGCTATTAAAGGGCACTTATGGTGAAAAATCTACTTTTTAATCAGCTTGGGCAGACGTGTATAAGTATAGTGTATAGACCGTCATATTGGGGTTATATAAACACAAACAGTCCTTTTTTTTCAATTTAACAACATAAAAACGGTGGACTAATTGAAGCGGTTTTCAGAGCGAGTGGAACTTGACGTAGGAGTGTGACAATGTCAACATCTTTCTCGCATGGATCTGTAAGAGAATACTGCCGGCTTGTGCATAATATATCACCTTTATCCACTGAACCACCCTATTATTCATTAGATTTTAATAAGAACTTACAGACATAATATGTCAGACGTCTTTAAAATATTTAAAAGAAAAAAAATATATTACTAATGTATTTAAATTATACCAAATGTTTCTAATAATATTCTAATCCAGTGAAATAAGCCATGGTAATGTATACTGCTGGATGAATATCCGTTATGTTAATGTACAAAATAAACCTGATTTAAATCAATGAACTGGGATTTTAAGCCTCGTTTTTTTAATAATTGTTGTACTAAACATATGGCTGTGGTAAGAGTTATGATGCAATTCTACCGTCCTTATTATAAACATGACTGTTTTAGAGACTTTTGAAACTTGTTAAAGTCATTTTTCAGTTGCTGCTAATCACATAAAGCTGAAGAGACCGTTTTTTCTTAAGTTGCTTTAAGCATGACCTGTCTTGTGGAAAAGATTATATGCGTTACTATGGAGACATGTTAATACACATCTGTCAATCAATTCAGTGGGCGGGGAAACCACACTCCTACATTACATTGCGGTGGGCCTCAAAATGGGAAGGATTTGGATGCTAATTTTAACGTCAGAAAAAAAAATAGACTTAATGTGTTTCTATCACTCTAGTATGACTGTGGACATGTTATACCTACACAGTTTTGTCCAAACAGCTTACAAAAGATCATTTTCGTTGTTGGTGCCCTTTAGATACTGTTAGTGAACAACCACCACCATGCATAATTGCATACATGTAAATACTCAATAAAATAAAATTTATGCAATATGTTTAAAGTTAGTTTCTTTCTTTCTTTCTTTCTTTATTTATTTAGCACACAATAAGTGAAGTGAATTTTTTTTTTAATGAATTAATGAATGTTTTAATACTGTATCAATACTTGCCTAAACAAGCAAGCTGGACCTAAATTCTCAAATCAAATTGTTGTAGCTAATTAATAACCTACTTATTGTTAATTATCTAATTATTGTTTCTGTCTCTCCTTCCTCTGCCTCCTCCTTTTGCTGTGAATTAAACAGAAATCCAGACAAGGGTCTTCAGTTTCTTATCTCTCGTGGCTTCATCCCGGATACACCTATAGGTGTTGCACATTTCCTACTCCAGAGAAAAGGACTGAGCCGACAGATGATTGGAGAATTTCTTGGCAATAGCAAGAAGCCATTTAACAGAGATGTTTTAGAGTGAGTATATATGAAAATTATACTAGAATTCATAACACTAGTATAATAACATAAAAGAGTACTTAGAATGTGCAAACTGCAGAGCTTTTCATTTGCATAGGATAAAGTGTGTGTGTGTGTGTGTGTGTGTGTGTGTGTGTGTGTGTGTGTGTGTGTGTGTGTGTGTGTGTGTGTGTGTGTGTGTGTGTACTTTTATAAAGTGGAATTTATGTGAGGTTTATAAACTGTGGTAACACTTTAGAATAACGATCCACTATAAAGTTAATAGATCAATACTAAACTGTTAGTTAATGGGTTATAAATGGCTTGTTAAATACTAGTTAGTAGTTTAATTATTTATAACAGTGCCTTATAAATATAGCCAATAGATAACTTACAAGTTGTTAGCTAACAAGGTAAAAATAACTTGTTGATTTATAACTATATAAAATGAATTCGTAATAGATCATGAATAGGCTGTCCATACTTACTTGAGACTTTTTAAAGTATCCGTCAATAGTTTATTTATGTTTTTGGAACGTTATTCTAAAGTTGCAACTATTCATCATTGATTAACTGTCAGTAAATATAGAATAGTAGCAAATTTAGAATAGCGTCCCAATAACATACATAAGCTAAAAATATACACTTAACTAATATATTAACTCACACGTTACAGATCAGTTGCTCAGTTTGTTAACCATCTACTAATACCAGTGAAACTTTGTAGAACAGCAAATGGATGGAACAAGTTCAAGCTACAGAAATTTGATGTGTAATTTACTTAAGAAACTCCAAAAATTAATGTTGAACATTGTGATTAATGTATAGAAGCACACAAACTGAGCCATCAAATGGCAGAACAGCAGTATACAAAAAAATTCAAACCCATGAGAAAAACAAAATAAATAAAAATTTATTTCATTGTAAAAGTTTAACAAAATTTCCTCTGGTGTTATTAGATGGTACACAAACTATAAACAACTGATTCGTAAAGTGTGAGTTAATATAATAGTTAAGTGTTAGTTATTAGCTTAAGTATGTTATTGGGACATTATTCTAAAGTTGCAACTATTCCTTATTTGCTAACATTTAATAAATGAAGAATAGTTGCAACTAAAATAATGTCCCAATAACAAATATAAACTATTAACTGACACTTAACAAGTCTTTAGTGAGTAATCAACAGTTTGTTTATGATCTATTACTAATTTATTATGTATAGTTATAAATTATTAAAATAAGGTTAACAAGTCATTAACAGCTTGGTAGCTAACAGCTTGTAAGTTATCTATTGGCTATCTATAAGGCACAATTATAAATAATTAACAAAATATTAACTATTATTTAACTAAAATTTGAATTATTTATTTGGTTATTTATAACTCATTAACTTACAGTTTATTAATGGCCTACTAACTAGTTATAACGGATAGTTATTCTAAAGTGTCACCGATGCGGTTGCACTTCTCAACTGTAAACATAAAAGATTTTATTGTTTTGGTGAATTCTGTGCTTTTACTCAGGTACTTCAAATATTGTCCTTTAAATTCATAGGCTTTTGCTATTCTTTGATTTAGTGATTTGTAATAGCCTACTGCTTGGGGCATTGAAATATGCTGAATATGGTCTGTGTATACAATGTTTGATATGTACAGTATAGATGTGCAGGCTAAATGACACAAACATCAAAAGCACAACAAATTGAAATGGGGGGGGGGGCACAAAACAAATTACAATACATTATAAAGGTGTTAGACGTGAGTAAGTAAATATACTGTATGACACATGTAAGAGAGTACAAGTATGAGTTATATGAGTTACTAGCTATAAGTGCAAGTTTGTATGAAGTCTCATTTATGACCTTCAGCAAACCAAATTATTTAATTAAATGTATGCTATTTACAATCAATAAAGCAATTCAAAAATCTTTCAAAGAGGAGCAGGTCAAGCCTCTGTTATCCATTGACCAGCAATTTACTCCCAGTCTGACAACCTGTGGAACCTTCTTCTAATCTTATGTGTTTGCTTTAATAGCTTATTTTTCTTCCACTCTCTTCTTCTGTTTTTTTTCTTTTTTCTGCTAGCTGTGTGGTGGACGAGATGGATTTCTCTGGGATGGAGCTGGATGAGGCTTTGAGGAAGTTTCAGGCTCATATCCGTGTGCAGGGAGAAGCACAGAAAGTGGAGAGACTGATAGAGGCATTCAGGTGGGATATTCTCTCTCTTACAGACAAGCTTACACACCTTAATGAGTGAGAGCATAATAAGAGCAGGGGCTGATTTGATTCAGGTACTTATAAACATGTTTAATTCCAGTTGTTTCAAAGGATCATAATGCAGTGTAGATTCTCTTCTCCTGTTTGTGTGGGTTTCCTCTGGGTGCTCCGGTTTCCCCCACAGTCCAAACAAATGTGCTAGGTGAACTGAATGAACTAAATTGGCTGTAGTGTATGAGTGTATGTGACATATATATATATATATATATATATATTAAGGCTGTCAAATGATTTAAAGAATTTATGTAATTAATAAAAAAAAAAAATACAGAAATAAAAACACAGGCATTTAAGTGCCATTTGATTTTCAAAACAATGAATACCAAAAACAAACAAAAATGTTCTCCATGTTGGATTCTAAGTGGACTACAAACACACACACACACACACACACACACACACACACACACACACACACAAAACGCACACAGGACAGCGGACCCGGTGAGCGAGGGATCCCTTCAGATTCATCAACATGCACGATTGCTTTCATCAATTTTGCTTAAAGAGCCCATATTATATATCCCAGCGACTCCCATATGAATCTTCCAGTGATTAGTTTGTTCCCAAACCCCTCCTTAGCGCAAAGCTAATCTGATTGGACCGATGACAGTCTGTTGCGATTGGTCGACACCGACTGCCTTCAGCGCGAGACAGAGTGAAATGCCCAGCAGCAAATCAACAATATAAAAGTAGTCACAGTGCATTCACGCTTCATAGTGTAAAGCGTTGATTTTGGCTGCCAGTGGGTGAATGTAAATACAAACTCCAAGAACTGGCGAGGAGATCTCCTAACTTTTCACGCTTTGCTCTTTTCGCACCCACACACGCACACACACACACACACACACACACACACAGATTTCCCTCCTCCTTTGACGACAACGTGCGCACACACAAACACACACACACGCGCATACACACCCACACACACAAACACATACACACACACACATAACCCTCGTCTTTGGAAGACAACGCACACACTTACACAAACACACACATAACCCTCCTCCTCGGACAACAACGCACACACACACATTAAGGCTGATTTATACTTCTGCGTCAAGCGCACGCGTACAATATGGTGCAGCCTACGCGTTGACGCATAGCCCCACACAATGGCTGTCCACGACACTGAAGTGCACTTCTCAAACAATGTAACTACACGTCACAATGACGCATAGCGCAAGCTCTGTGATTTGTTGGCTTTGTAGCGCTAACGAGTCTTGGCAGCAAAGAGAGCTGCGTGAGCGGCGCGAGCCCGATGGAGCGATTGTTTACAAGTGTGGAGTCCCGTTAAGAAGCTCCTGATGGAGAGTTTTGTTTTGGGTTTACCTCATGGTTAAAGTTGTTGCACGTCCGCCGGTTCCTACCTTAAAATGAGCGAGTTTGGGCTACTTTTACATCCAGGAAGTGTTCAGAAAAAACAAAATACCAGCGAAGAAACTCGACACAGAGACACATTAACACCTCACTGTTATAAGTAACAAATCACAACTAAATGCATTTGCAAGCTAGAGTAAACGAGGTAACAAATTTAATCACATATACTTACACTTGAGAAATGGAGGAAGAAACCGATCCAGGTTCTGACATAGTCCATCGGTAGTCTTTACTGATCCTTCCTTTAACAAATGGCCGAAGAAGTCTTCTTTGTAGCATGTAGTTTCCAGAAACACTCAAACTGCTCAAGGCTGGGCTATAATGCTGAGGTTTCATCTTTGGGTAGAGACTCAATTATATCCATCTGCACTTTGCGACTTCATTTGACTCGCGCGTGTGTGTATGTGTGTCTGTGCGTGTGTATGTGTGTGTGGCCTTTTTCTGTGTTAGAGGGCGAGGCCGTAGGTTTCAAATCTCCTGGGTTTGCATGCGCAACTAATTGGTTTCGTTATCACATCATTGCGAAACACCTAATGACTCGTTATCAAGACTACTCGTTTGAAGCACTGTGAGTCGACTCTTTTATAGATGAATCAACAGTTTTAAACACTGTACACTTACAGATTTAAGCCTTAGCTGGATATTTCACTTCACTTAGAGCTGTGTTACACACTACATGGAAGGGCATTTTCAAAAACCCATAATATGGGCTCTTTAAACTAAGCATTCCAAAGTATGGCTGTATTTTACAAGCAAGGATTCTCATTAAGCAGTTCTTAGGCAGAGACTAAGGCTGTCTTTGACAGCTTGGGATGACATCTGCCACTTTCACTACAGAACATTTACATTAACACCAATACTCGACTTTTATGATTAAGATAACACTGATTAGGGTCCACCATAAGCAGCCATTTTTGATTACCTAAAAGAATAATGCGAGTCCCGAAATGCAGAGGTTTATCTTTGTTCGCCATGAGGTAACAAATTCCATTAAAACATCCTAAATGAAAATATGCTGTGTAAGAGTGAACTGCTGAACTGCAGTTAAAGTCTAAAGACTAAAAATGAAACACCCGAAATTGCATGAAACTCTGGAGGAAACATAGGATAGCCTGGTGATGCAATATTAATTGTTTTTTACTGAAACTTTCCTTCTAAAAGCGTGTCCTTGGTGTTATCCAAATTTCTTTGCACATTAAACACATGCAGGGCCAGAGGAAGCTGAACTGGCACTCTAGGCAAACAGCAATTAAGTCGCCCTCAACCCGAAAGTGACCGGTTAGCGGATGAAAGTGAAGACCGGGGGGGTTCGCTTACTGCCTTGGGCAGCTGCTATATGTTATAAGTGAACATAGATTACTTTTTTAATCTAGATTAATCTCAGAATTAATATAGATTAAAATGGCTCATTTGAATTCTGCCAAAGACATTTAGAATATGTGTGCTACCCAAATAATAAGAACGGGTTTCTCAAGCCAGGTGGCACATTAGACCAGGAGCTCATCTCCTATTTCCAAAAGGCATCACAAACTGCTTAAGAAACTGTTCTACTATGTTAAATGGTGATGAAAATAAATTGTTCAATAAGATGTACTTGTGTATACTAACTGTTTATTCAGTTAAACAGGAATTTTGAACTGTAGGTCTAAATAAGCTCGAAATTTTGATTTTTGATGACCTTAATCTGACTTAAGTCATAACTGAACTAAACAGAAATGGATTTAAGACATGTTGCGTTTGCATATATAAGTGGAATTAATGAAGTAAACGCCGCAATCAAACTATTACTGTGATGACTTTTTGCAATATTTTCCAACAAGATCCACACATGCGGCTGTTAGTAAATCACACACATCTCAAAATGTGAAACTTTTTTTGCTTTCCATTTGGCGTGCAGTGTTACATTTTATAACACTCTCAACAGTCCTTACTTCTTATTTGCATCTAATGCTCCAGTTTGTCACGGTGGCATGAATTATATAGTCATGAGTTAAAGGGCTTTCCCAGAGATGGGTTGCGGCTGGAAGGGCATCCGTTGTGTAAAAACTTGCTGGATAAGTTGGTGGTTCATCCAATCGCCCACCAATATTGATTGACAGGCACGCGTCACCTAAACCTCAGTTTGTCATTTCACATTCGCCATTTTCAGCGTAAGTATCAGCTATATCACTAAAGGAACATCCTTTCTCTATTTTTAGATGCAAGACTCATTGGGCTCAACACAAGATCAATATTCTCCACATTATCGCTTTAATCTGAATTATTGGTTGTGCCTTTAAGTAGGTTTGCAAACATGTAAACTTTTTATTGCGTCTACCTTAAACTTTAGCTGTTTGCGTTTCTCACGGTCACAGAAGCTTCCTGTGATCCTTACAAGGTGCAGCTGGAAAAGTGCAAGAGTGTTGCCTCATGTGCATGTCTCTCCGTTGGAAATGAAATAACAAACTTGCCTGCAGGTCACACATCAGAAGCTCCGCCATGCATTGGAATTCTTTGTGTGGGTTTCTGTCAGGGTGCCCGCGGCGGCTCTTCAAGTCAGCTGCGGGGGTGTCGTTGTGTGTGCCCTGATGGAAACCTGTGTTTAAAGTTCTAAAATGTGTGACGCGACGATTCGGGACACTTTATGTATCTGTGGCGCCACAGAGAGTGTCTGGTGTGCCATGTCGTGGCTTCGAGCTGTAAATCCGGTGCCTCAGTCAAAGTTAATTCAGTGTGTGTGGTTATTAGTGTCGGTCTACAAGCTCGGCACTTGAAACTAGCACACAATTGGCTGTAAAGCTATACAAAGACACAAATGATTTTGTACTCTCTGCTTGGTCTGTGTCTGAGTCGTACATGTACGACTGAAAGCTGATCCTTTCACTCCTGCTCCTTCTCTCAGTCAGCCTGTCTGTTGCAAACACAGCTCTTGGCTCCACCCCCTTGTTAAGTTGGACGGGAAGCCGAAACTAGTTTTCATGTGAAACATACGTCAAACGCGCCCCTTAAACAGCGAGCTGTGTACACGCCCCCAACCTGACACTTTTTAACACATTATAATAAAAAAATCTAAACTGTGTTTTAAACTGAACCTAAATTGGCACACTCAGAAGAACCTTAATACTAATATTAAATCATAAAAAAGGGGTAAACTATGTGCCCTTTAAAGTGAAACTGCCGAATTGCAGTTAAAATCAGGCATCCTGCTGATTTGATTCAGAAGGGCACTATTTTGTCAGACAGCTCACCAGCTCACTGAACATCGGTGCTAAAATATCAAGGTGAAAGTTATCATAGCTTAGAATAGACCCAGCTCCCAACCCAACTTTGAGAATAGATTAACGCCGATATTTTTTTTATTGCGCGATAAGAGTCTCGCATTAACGCAGCACATTAACGCAGATAACGGCCCACCACTAGTGTAAATATTAGTGCACTATATATATATGTATATATATATATATATATATATATATATATATATATATATAAAATATTTATAGCTGTCAAAATTAGTGCGTTAACGCATGCGAATAATTTAAAAAAATTTAATGCGTAAAAAAAAT